TTTTTCCAATCAGTGAGAACCCGGTATATGTATTGCACTCACGCTTGTCGTCGACTATCGAGTAAATTCTCTGAGCAAGGGAGAAGGTCTTGTTTGAGTCGGACACGCGATACAAACTGGATGATAGCGCCGTCAGCTGTACGTGCGGAATTGTAATTTCGACCGGCTCGATTTACAAAACTTCTCGCGCGATTTTGCGGCAACGATCCTTTACTCGGTTACGTGCGCCGCGGTGCACACCGATTGTCGTCGAATCACGTCCGATGCACCTTCGATTCGAATAAGTCGCCCCGTGAAACACGACGGAATCGTTCATCCGAGCCAAATACGTGATGCGCGATACGCAACAGCAAAGGGAAATTGATTCGTCGCTGTGAGACGAAGGGTGCATCATCGCTTAGGTTAGATATCGATTTCGATCTGCAATCCGCGAAGGGAAACTCGCGCAGGTGCCTCAAACGCCGCTACGTGCCGTTACGTGGTTTGCGAAATTATACCTAACGTCGATTAATGACTCCTGTAACCCGCGAGTTAATTGAGTTTGATCGTTTGCGAATAATGCATCGCATATTCCCTTTGAGGTCGTTCCCGAACTTCGATAACTCGAGTTCAATCGCTCGAACGAGCGATCGAACGTGAAGTTGTTGGGAAAGATCGAACAATGAGAACGCATTATTCTTCGACGAGAGCAGATCCACGTATTTCTGATATTTATCATATTCGATAAACAGTTTCGAAAATTTTCTTATATAGCGACGCTTAACCAATACATCATACGGCATAACAAGAATCGATGATTCAAAACATTGAGATTATAACCCTCCACGAGTTGTGTGATCGACCGAGGCTCGCTCGCGACGTAGCATGCTCGGATTCGCAATTACGGAAGCAATTACGTAAGCAGTACGACCGTTTCGATCAAAGCTTCATCGATGACATCACTAAACTTTTCACTTGTCACGAGTTCACGCCATGAGAATAGATACGGAATCGCTTCGCGCGTTGTGTTCGCATATAGCATCACGACTTTAAAACGCCACTGCGACTGCATTATGACGATTCTCTCTATTTCTTCTGTTGAAATTCTATATGGCTCGTGATCGCGCGTGTGCGGATTATACGATATTCTATCGATGGGAAACTCAATACTCACCGTTCTGCATCGAAATCCGTCGATATGTCTCGCCGAGCCATCTCCACGCATGTTCATTCCGCTGGCAGGTCCACCGATAAAAAGACGGCGTTGAGTACGCGTGATCAAGACAGTCGCGCGTAAAGTCGCAAGGGGGAGAGATGTGGTGGCGCCTCGCGCGGCGGCTCGAGCGGCGCATCACGCGGCACGTGCGACGCGACAGCCCGACCTTCAATAACAATAACAATCAAAGGTACTACACTTCCGACGCGTCTAGACACGATAAAGCGGCCATTGGCATTCCTTGCGGCGAGCGGCGGACAGCATCGTCTGATATTTTCGAGATTCTCGCGTCAATTAGGGATGGCGTGTAAAGGATTTCGAGTGCTCCTCGACGTTCTCGTCGCTGTAGGCATTCTGTGATTATCGTGTGTGGTATCTGCGTTGCGAAATGTATCAGGTGATTGTCGAATTACTACTGTTGATTTTCGCGACACTCCGTCTGTGATACTCCGTCTCGTGATATTCGTTCTCCGGGTAGCGATCATATAACTCTCCTAAGAGCGGAAACGTGAAAAGTTTCACACGCAGTCGACGATTTTTGGCGATCATGTAATTTCTCGAACAATGGAATATTTTCACGTAAAACTTCACTTTTCACGAGTTCGTGCTAGGGAGAAAGATACATAATCGGATACATACTCAGGACTGAATAATAAAGCTTGTTCTAATCCTATGTTAGTCAAATCTCTCCCACCGCGATTAATTGCATAAATTACGTTTTTCTGCGGATTTAACAAGTGCCGAATATTACATGAAAATGAGAGAGACGCCATCAGTGTGCACTCGATTGAAGTAAGTCGCGCGTTTAAAACGCGCAGAGATCGCAACGCTACGGTGTTTCTATACAACAAGTCGAAGGTCTTGAACAATTTTGGCGCGTCTACGCAATCAGGCGGCCATTTCAATATCTGCGACGAATGGAGGGTAACGTTGGACAGCGTCCTTCGGCATTTTCGAGCTTCTTACATCAATTGGAGATAACAGAGTGAAGGATTTCGAGCACTTCTGAACGTCGTGTCTGGACGCGCACTGTACTGGGCATGCAGTGAGCGTTGTAAGCCTTGTTTGGAGCATAAAATCTGTCAGGTAATCGTCACATTTTTTTTCAATTGTTAACTTTTACGATGCTCTCTATGCTCTATTACGCCCTCTCAATATTCGCTCGTATTGTATAAATAACGCACTACTCAAGACAATTAGACGATCACATTTTTAAATGTCTATATTGTCTAGCAAATAATTAATATATTTTAAATATTTCTCTGGATAAGTAACATAACATTCATATCGAGCTTGTTTTCATCTGATATAATCTAACTTTGTCTCCTGCTGCGAGTAATTGTATAACCTACGTCTTGTTCCAAATTTAGCAGGATTGATAGCTGACAGAAGTGACAGGTATGACAGAACTGACAGAGTTGACAAAGCTAACAACTACGAGACGAGCCACTTTGTTGAACGCGAAATGCTGCACTGGAAGATCCGGTTCAGGCCGATTAAGGTCGGCTTAGAGGTTAGTCTATTGATTTTCTGTATTCTATCACTTAATTCTTCATTATCGTAACCCTAATATAGTTGCCAAAACAGAAATTATTAATAATTTTTTATCATAAAGATCTAACATGCACATATCTATGTACATGTACTCTTTGCGTATTCTTATAATGAGCTTAACATGAAATCTAATTAATAAAATTATATGTTTCTTTTCTTTTTCTCTTCTTGCCTTCTCTCTCTCTTTCTCTTATTTGTTTGTATACTTGTAAAATCTTCTTTATATGGTTTATTATATCTTTGTTCTAGATCTGAACGTGACTGGTGCTGATTCTGCAACGTAAGTCGAGAAAGTGAAAGTCGAATAAAACATTTAAAGATGATAGGAAGAGAAATTAAAGGTGACAGATACTTACATTTTAATTAAACTTTTATCAGAATCAATGCGATTATATAGATTTGCATGTTGGGCTTGTATATGTCTATATATGTTGTTAACAAATAACACACTGCTCAAGACAATTGGGTGATCACATTTTTAAGTGCCTACATTACTTAACAAATAATTAATATTAAAAAATATTAATTTAACAAATAATATATTCTGAATATTTTTCTCCCTTCTCAGTATGTTAAAATTATATAATTATATAAAATTATATAAAAGAATATTACTATCTTTAACCTTTTATTATGCATATTTATATAAATTTCTTGCTTATTATATCTTATTTAACTTACAGCCTTATATTCCAAACTATAGTAATTGTAGTATACAGTGCCTATTATTGTGAGCAGACTATAGCATTGTTCAACGAAACTATTCAGCCAGTCTAATACCTTGATTGTCTTGAGCAATATATAATGCGCATTGGAACAATGCGCCATCTCAATGGAATTCGCAATCATTTTGTACGCGTTGATTGCGATTATCTCGCAAATATTAGGTGATCATTTGCGATTATTAAATTTTAAATTCCTCACCCGTGTATTTGCGTTGCGATTACACTTCATAAAGAGAGCTTCTGTAAACAGAAACTTTGTAAACAGAGATACCTCGGTGAATTGTTTTTGCGTGATCGCGCTTTTGTTTTCAAGTTTTTATAGCACGTCTCATACGGAATGTAGTACTATTCGATATAACGAACTTCTCACAAAAACTAAAAACATTAGAGAAGTAAAATTAAAGCTTTCCGATTGTTTGTCTGCCGTGATTATACGTTTGTTGAAAAGACAGTAGTATCAGATATTCGAGAATCGAATTTCGTTCGCGCGCGTGTCGATAGATCGTCGCGATATTTCTCGTTTTCAGGTTTTTAGTTCAGGTTTTTCCATTTGTGCTTACGTCCTACGTATTTTGCAGTGATATTACGAAAGTATTCGCAAAAGTATTGTCGTGGATCGTCGGTTCGCGGAAATTTTTTACTCGTATTTCGCGAGTGAAATGTAGCGTGTGAAATGGAGTCGACGTGGGACGACAGCTGGGATACTGAGGAGACTGGGATGCTCGACGGATGCGAACGCAGTTTCCAGATGCAGTGGTGAATCTCGTTGGTGGTCCTGGACGTCGATAGAATTCGCCGAAATGGTGAGCGTGCATATAGCAACGCTCACAGAGCGTTATCATATGATATAATGCATGAGTAGTAAATCGCATTGATTCTTAAGGACAGTTAGACCCTGTTGTTTAAAACTATAAACGTTTGGATAATTAATTTTGTCTGTACTGAGAGTACAATATTTTTATGATGTATTTTACAATTCAATTGTAATGAAAAATTCTAATATGTGAAAGCGTTGATTTTACAGCAGTTAATTAGTAATATTGCTTAAATTTTTGTGTGAATTACTTTGAAGGAAAGAGATATGAATTTAGCGAAATATAAATTTTTAAATTAAATTTCACCACAGAGTTGTGTCCTTAATAGAGACAAGTGCATGTTTATTATTTGCATAATTCTATTTTTCATATTTCACTTGTTTTTACTTGCTTGTTATGTTGAAATAATGATTATATTATATTATGCATTTCCATTATGAAACAATTTCCATTGAAACAATTATGTTATTATGTATTTGCATCTGTTTCAATTATATTGAAACAATAATTATATTATTATGCATTTTAGGAGATGTTCTCCTAAAAAATATATATAATTCCGTCTTTTTAAATCTACTCTTCCAAGAGTATCGTTTAGGATTGCGGTTTTTAAAGCGAGCTATTTGGAAACTTACCTGAATGAGCGCGTACGATAATTTTCCGGCTGTTTCTGAAATCAATTAGATGAGACACAAAACAAGACAAGGCTAATTCTTGTAAAATGCATATCGTATATTTCGTGATCTCGTTTTCCTCTCGCGGAAACATTAGATTCGCTTTAAATTTATGTATTATAGCGCGTGATCCGTGAAACCTCGCGGCGTGGAGATTTGGTTGGCTGCATGAAAGACAAGCGTACCTTCATCTCTCCGCAACGTACATTCAGACCTCAGGTGTCTTAACGAGCCGCGTGATTAAAATTTTTTCGTTCTCCCGTAACGATAGGATATGAAACGCGATTCGTGTTTCGCCGTACGAAAAGTGACGCGCGCTGGCCTCTCGATATACATGTGTGTCACGGGCTGAAAGACAGCGTCTGGATGTACCTTGACGAATGAAACTTATACAAATATACAATATTAACAACCTGTCACGACGAGGAAGGGCATTGTGTGCCCGAGAGAACCGATATTAGCGAGTAGTCGCAGTCGACTCGATGTCTGTCTGCTCCAACCGCGGCATTGTCCCTTTGCATTTCCTGTTAAAAATCATCGCGGTCACGATGTGATCTAATTGATAGTGGCATATTATATACGCGTCGGTCACACTGTATTTTGATATATTGCTATCTTAATTGTCCGCTAATTGAAACTGTTGACAACAATCTCGAGATACTCGAGACAGCCGTGATCGATAGGTGACAGTTTACGGTGACGTGTTCGATGATGGACGCTTTCCGTCGTCCCGTAAATCGACTGCTTATGCATTATCGATAATATATTGGACACGATGATAAGAGCTCGCGCGCGATCCTGCGTGTGTTATCGGGGAATTTGCGAATCCTCGTGTCTGCTAACCGCGCTAAAAACGGCCCGACGAGCGTGCGGAAAATTGCGAGATATTAATGGCGTGAATTGTGATAGATGGGGGTCGAATTGAACGGTGCAATTTGTCTCGATTATCACAGCCATAGTGATACGCGATACCAACCACTCCGATACCTCGGTCAGCAGTTCGCGCCTCGAATCTTTATTGTTTACCGTTATTGGTTATTTGATACATAGATTTATGCTCTTACCGTAGCTTTGGTCATTTTTAGTCGCGAGGGCTGGGATCGCGTTTGGGATAACTATGCTTTGAGAGAGAGATGCTAACGTCGGGCCGGCTAAAGCGTACCGAACGGCGCGGTCGATATTAACAACGTCGTCGTATCGCTCCGTGATGACCGAATAATTTGCTCGACGATGAGTACATCTGCTTGAACGGCGTATGTTGCGCTTGACAATCGAGACCGACCACGCGTGGCGCGATCGAGTCGCAAGAACGTTTAGGCCGGTTCTACATTAGTTGCAAATCGCAAGGTCGTAAGAAAATTTACCAATCACAGTCGATCGTTTTTCTTACGATCAAAGAAGAATTGACTGTGTTTGGTCAATTTTGTTGCGACCTTGAGACTTGTAACTAATGTAGAACGACTCTTATGCGCGTGTTTGGAAGTTGCCGTTACGCAGTGATCGGGACAAATCGCTGAAAATGAGACAGGCACGCAATTCGTTAATAAATTACAATTGAATTCGTACTTACTCCTGTTATAAAGGAATACACTATTTCCTTTTGCTTAATGTGGGTGGGCATGCATTGAGAAAGAGAGGCTCGTTTCTGTGAAACAGAGTCTACCTCTGTGAGGTAAAATTTATTTCGACGAATATAAACTTTATATCCCGCAGATACATTTTCAAGTATTTCCTCTTTTGAGTGTGAAATCATCACTTTTTATCTAGTCGCGAGTTAATTGATTGGAGATGTCAACCAGCCATTCATTGGCTCTCGTGCAAAATCAGACGTTCACTCGAATCTCGAGTGAAGTCGCGCTGAGAATTGACGAAAGTATTCTTTCGTAATGCAAAACGCACGCGTTTTCTTTCTCTCTTTCTCTCTCGAGCATCAAACGTCACTTATATCGCGTTTAGAATTAACGTTCCATGACGACGCAGCCAACCGCCTCTGTTCCGCCTAATCCCATCTTAAGTCAACGCAATATGTTAACACACACTCCTTTTTTGGCCCTCGTGTCCGCTCTAGTCATGATAATAGAAAAGTCCGTGCGGTGTACATTGGTGGCAGCGTCTCGTTCGGCGTCGCGGTGCACCATTTATTCGCCATCGTTACGACGCCTTCTCGCCCAGCCGAAGGCTCTCGTGCGAGCCGAGGTAGCTTGTCGAGTCTTCATCTGAGCACCTGGCTCGATCGGGCCAGAGCCACGGCCAGGAAGAGCAACGGCAAGCTAACGGCGGCACCCGCTCGAGCGGCTCGCTCGCCGCTGTGATGTAGCTCTGCTAAGCTTTCTCCTGAAACAGCGTTACGTACACTCACAAGGAAACGCTCGCGACCACTTTCTTGCCCGACGTCGGGCGAGCCTCGGATATATCGTGAAACGGCGGTCTGTGAGAGAGAAGAGTCCACGATCCGATAAAAAATTAACAAACGGTCGTAAGTATCCGACCGAACTTTCCGATCAATTTGACCGGAAACTTGATCGGATGGCCCGAAAAACGATCGGATATACGTTGCTGGAACGAAATATCCGTTCGTTAATTTTTCATTGGATCGTGAATCTTTCTCCCAGTGCGGTCGAAATACGACTGAGTACTTGTGTCTTCTGCGAGCGTAGCGTACCGCGCGAATTTGAGAATCGGGATCGATACTGAGCCGAAGCGCGCGTACTTAACGTGGTATTTGGGAAAACACGCGATAAAGCACGTACACGAGATAAAGTGTCCGTTAGTGCGAAGTTATTTCAGAATATATCCGAGATACATAGAGATTGACGGGAGGGGGGAGAGGGAGCGAGGGCGAAATAATTGCGAACTTTTCCTCGTACACTGAGAGAAAAAAATAGTTGGAATAACTATAATCTCACTATATTTTATAGTTCGTTTTGGCCTCAAACATATATTTATAGTTCATCTAAACACGAAGATATAGTAGAATGAACACAAATTTATAGTCACCATCTTATTACTCTATATATATGGTAAAGCACCTTTTGGGAATATAGTTACATATACCTATATTTGTCAAATATTCCAATTGTATTGACTATATAAAATAGTTAATTTCTCTTACCATTCAATATTTGTCACCTTACCATATTTTTTATTTCAAATAATTATAATTCTTGGTAAAAATTTTACACGGGTCAGTTATACTATACTTATATTGTAAATATTACAAATATTATGGTAACATTTACTATAAAAATTATATTCCTAACTATAATATTTTTACTATGCCATTATAGTTCCAAATATCATACATTTTTCTCTCAGTGTATGACGCACCGCGAGTTCCTCGCGACTAAGTTGTCTTCGTCGAACATCAGTTGTAACACGCGCGCGCTCTTGAGCGACACGATGCAAATATCGCGGAAACATCTTGTATAATTCGATTTCTACTAAGACCGCGTGGAGCATGTATCGAGCTATACCCGGGGCGGGATAATCGAGATGACGTTTGCGCGAGTCACTTTGTACACGAGGTGTTCTCGAGGGAGCGCGAATTCCGCGGCGTACAATTCCGCGGCGAAGATGTAGACACGTACGCCGTGAGAAACGTCGGAATTTATGAATGAATTTTCGCATACCGCGGAGAGGAACGAGCTTCATTAGGGGACGATTCGTCATCGACGGTTCTGTCGCGCGAATATCTCCCTGTTATCTGCACGAGATAGAAATGTTCTCGCTGTGACACACATACTCCCGCGTCTCGGGGCCGTGCCGTCGGGAAAACTCGCGAAAACGCCGCGTCTTGACGGGAAATTTGCAAGGGTTTCTTTATATATTTAATTTTTTTATTTTTAAGAAATTTCATTTTTTTCTCAACAGTACTTCTCAGTTTTACTTTCGTCTCGCGGTATTCCCGGTCGCGTGAATAATGAACGATGATGAAAACTCGACAGAGATTAGTCTCCGTCAGGAAACCGCGACATCAAAGTAACCGCGCAAAGTTCGCGTTCAGTTAGAAGATTCGACCCGCGCGCTGAGTTTCTTCGTCGCGTCGGGAGTTCCTTGTGCGGGAACGTTTTAAGAAAACGACCCTTTACCGGTAACTTCCAAGCCGGACTTCCTCGTAGGAGTCAAACACCGGAAGACTTTTAGGCGCATTCGCGAGCACAGTTTAAGATAAATATTAAATGCTGCGAGAGTACGTACTTTAGTAATAAATAGCCGTTGAGTCTACAGCCGCGCTGTGTGGGAGAAACAGAGAGCTGTATGTTACGGGACGTTTCGTCCGCAGATGTCGTAATAGAGCAAGCGCGAATATCGCGCATCGGTGAATGTTGTGAATTTCTGAATTACTTAAGATTCGCAACACGATTCCCCTTGTGGGGAACTGTTGCCAGTCTGTTTGTTAGCGTCGTTAGCCACCGCATCGTCGGAGACAAGTTTCTCCGACACTGTCTCAGACGCATCGAGCATTTTCGAAACGTATTTTATGACAAATTTCAACTTTAAAATATTCAGAATACTGTTAAGTAAGGAAACAGCAGAATAGTTTCGGCGACACGTCTCGCACTATAATAACGCGAATAAACTGTTCGACTAGATATTTATCATAATCAGATTTATCTCTGATTCAGTTATTTGGTTTGCACAAAGTGATATTATCGGGTCCCAATTATCAATAGTTCTAATTATTACAACATTTCTAATACGGGACATTTCTAATACATCGTTGATTCCGTGCATTTTGCCGATCTAAGCCAGTACTCGGAATTATTGACATTTTCGAAGACTACATGTCTACTTTCTTTTCCTTACCTCTCCCGTTCACTTGTCGAGCCTCGTGATTGATGGTCACTGCGCTCGGCTGCAGGACTGTCAACTTCATGAGACCTGCGGTACTCTCTTTAATTTTCTTATGTGCGTTATTTCCATGTAATGTTATGCTTCTTTTTATACAGGACAGATAAACATTTTTATATAATTATAATTACTATGATAGAGTATTAGTTTCAATAAAAGTTTTTCAGAAATTCGATAGAATCCCGCGAGTCTCTTTTGAAGTTGACGATCCAGAAGCTAAGCGTCGCGCGACAGTCGATCTACGGCACAGGCTCGACGGCTGAGTAAGTGGAAGAAAGTAGATTTAGACTTGGAAAATCGCGTCTCGAAAGTGCGAGCAATCCCGAGCAAACGATTCAAACGATCGCGTGCGCGCACCATAGGTGTTTTCCCGTTAATTTTGCGAGATATTTTCCTCTTGCTCACGATGAAATAAGAGAAGCACACACAGTAGAGAAATGTCAAAAAGATTTTCACTCTCACCGTTTAGAACGTGCACGTGAACCGTGGCGGGTTGGTCCGGCATGGTGGTGAGCTGGCACGTGTAGTTTCCGCTATCCATAGGTCCAACCTTAGCTATACTGAGAGTTGAATTGGCCCCCTCTTCCATTAGGTCCGTTTTCACGCTACAACATGCGCAGGGCGTTGAAATTTTAATGCCTCGAAAGTTCGCCATCCGACAATTTCTCATGCACTATTTCGTGCCGTGCCATGGCGACACTACGTGCACGTAAAGTAACACGAATACACATGTGTCGCGTTGCTTTCTCTCTCTCTCTCTCTCTTCCTCCCTCCCTCCCCCCCACACCTTTCTTTCTCACACATACATACATACATACACCGTTACATGCGGCGTTATCGGAATCGGCATGTTCGCGAATCACCACGAATTCAAAACTGATGACGTATTTTCGGTGATCGTGCGTGGCGGCGCTGAGAATTAAATAGTTTCACAGCAAAAATCGCGAACATTCGCTTCGAAAATGCAATTAATTCCGAACGGCGGATTAAAGAAATATTGATATCGAGGAATATTGAAGCGACAATTTGTGGCATGGCCGGTCGGCGATGATATTCACGCGAAAACAGTTCCATACGAAATTAAGAGCGAAGCGGAATCGCTCAGCGGAATACGAGACGCACGAGGATCTTCTAAGGCAGGCTAACGAGAACTCCTCAATTTTGCCTGTTCCTCTCTGTCCCCTGCACCTTACTTCTTTGTCCTAACTAATCACCGACGCTCCATCACGGCTAAATCGTTTCTTCTTCCTGGCGCCTTTTTTATCTCGTCGCTCGCGCGCTTCATTCGCGCGCTCTTATGCCAGCTTTCTTACGCGGGAGAGCAGTCGAGTTAATTGCAAATCGAGCCGAAATTATCAGCTTCCGCGAGAGCGCTCTGTTCTTCGTGCGAACAATGGGTTGAATAATAAGCTCTGACCGTCAAATAAATATTTGCACTCGCGCTGTCGACGAAGCATCTTGATAACTTTATATTGACCGATCGTTTCTTTTCCCTACGCCGCCTCGAATTAAATATTTCAGTCTTGCTAACAATTTGCGCGCTCATTCCTCCGAATACACGAGATACGTAGGATAACGTGACCGCTAGATATATCGCTTACGTAGGAGATTATATTTCGCAGAAAAATACGCGTGATTTCGCCGCTCGCGCTATCGGCGGCAGTGAAAAGCACAAAATTTAAAATCGCGAAATTTAAAACGACCCGCCAACGTGGTATTTGATGATGCTCTTTGAATTTTGTCGGTGCGTCCCTTTCACGCGTATCTTTTATTCATCTCGCGATCGGCACGATCACGGCGCGACGTGCGAATGTCAAATTTTTGCCACGAGAACGCTGTCCTTTTCCGAAGACCGCATTTTTCCCGGCGGAAAGAATTGCGGCAGCGTGGGTTCGTCGAAGCGCGCTAATTGCCGACGAAAATATATCCCTCTCTCTGCGCGTGGAAGGAAAGTTTCTCGGTACAACTGCACACTGCAAGACGTCTCGCGGAAAATTGCCCTCGCGCGCTTGACGTTCTTATTTTTGTGAGAAAACGGCGGGAGAAAAAAAAAGTAAAACCGTTCGAGCGGGCGTTTCACGACGAGCGGAGAGTGCACAAGTGGTGCGCCGCGGCAAAACGGTAAATACGGAGAGAGAGTGACAGCTAATAACTGCGCGGCACAATTAGGCGATCGTCTCTTTAACCCTTTCGCTACCAACATATATATATGATGTTCTCGTGTGTATATATGTTTTCCCCATCATCAATAATAACCTTATTTCATCGAAAAAACAGCTTTTTTGTTCAGAAAACGTTCAGAAAACATTAGTTATCAATTACAGCAAAACATTCCTTCCCAAAAATTCCAATAGGACCAACCATATAGATGTGTGATATCTCTGAGACGTCTTTCGGATATATTTTGGATATTTGTGCTGTAGGGCAGTGTCTCGGTTCTATCCCTTTAGCGCTAAACATAAGACTTTTCACTTCTTTTTGCTAGAACTACATTATATCAATGTATTTAATGAATTGAAAATAGAAGGAAAATTATACCTTTAAAAACGCAAAATTAATAGCGAAAGGATTAAATGCTCATATCACTCAGTGAGTATACGATGCATTGTATACGGAAAGAATATTATAGTCTTTTTTACTTTTCATATAAATTCTTTTTCTTTTCAATTTTACTCTCTATTTATAAAAATCCAGAAATAGACGGTCAATAAAGTCTATCTTTTTTTTTGCTGAGGAACGTACATATATAAACAATACTTGAACCTTTATTTATGGGATATAAAGTTTATTTCTGTGAAGTTTATTTCTGCGAAATAAAGTGTATTTATGTGAAATAAATTTTCATCTCACGCAAAATAAATCTCCAGGTATTTTTTCTCAATGCAGGCGGTAAAGAAACGTACCACCTCCAGCATATTATGATTAATACAACCATTTTATGTATAGACAAAAAATGACATTAATATTTTGGCAACCATATTTAGTCAATTGATATCTTTATCATGTTTTCCCGTATATTAAATTTTGCTAGAAATATAGCTGACTTCGCTAGCAAGTGTTTGAATAGCACATTTCAATTTCTGAAATATAAATAGCACATAGGAAAAGATAATGAATCACTTGATTTATTCCTATATATAATAATTTTAACTATAAAATTCTCTCCGTGTACACTTTTCTTGTAGCATCTGTCTTAATTTTCGCTGAACCTATTAATATTTCAGCTAATTCTAACTGTTTCAAACTATAATTACATTTAACAAGTCTTTATTTTCTTATATTCTCGATATATTTCAAAGTTAGACGCATTGAACGTAATCACGATGGCGTTCAGTTAAGCAAGTACGAAAGAGAGAGAGGAGAAGTTAAAATTGGCGATTATAAGATTTATCTCAATTTCGCCGACAATCTCGGCGACTCCGTCGACAAGGGCGTTGAAACTATTTGACGGCTGGGGCGGCAAAGGTTCGTCCGGTAAATATTTCGCAGCGAGAATTTTTAGCTTCTCCTTTCCGCGTTTTGCACGCGACAGAAGGCACACTGCCGTGAAACAAAAGCGCGCGCATGCTTTCACAGCGATTTCATTTCGGACATTTGCTCCTATATCGCCCTCTCCTGCGAGAGCGCGCGCGGCTTTCAACGTATTATTTAATAAAAAAGAAATGAGGAAAAAATGACCGTTATTTTACGTTTTGACGTCTGCAGACGTTACGGGCGTGATTCTGCCGTAACGACTTACCGCGAGCTCGTAAAGAACATCGGAGGGGCAGCACAAAATTCGCGACAAAGGGACGCGTTTGGATCGACAATCTGGAGGATTGTCGCAAAACGAGGTCCAATCGCGGAGCCGAATGACGCTGCGGTGACGCTTTGTTTAATTGGAGGGCGACCGTCCGGGATTTTCCAGCGCGGCTCGAAAGCGTCGTTGTCGTGGCTTTCGACGATGCGATCACATGCTCGTCGCAATTGCAGCTGTGCGGTTCGACACGGTGCTACGATTAACGCGAGATCCCGCCGGGGTGACAAAGGCTCTCGCGTCCTTTCCGAAGCCGCGTCTTCGCCCTTTGCTAAGCCTCACGTAACAAGTGCCCTTTTATTTATGCCGGTTCGCGTGTTACGCCGAGGGTGGAAACTCGCTCTGGCCGAACGAAGAGGGCTTTTGGATCGCGCCGAGCTAAGCGGGACTTTAATCGAAAAAGTTCCCTCATCGCAATTTGTCGCTTTCGTTACCTTCGGCCGGTTGAACACCAGCGGACCATCGCTCGTTTACTCGCGACCTCGAGCGTCCACGTCTGCGTCCTGCTAACGCGCGACTTTTCTAAGAGGTCCTCCTCTCTCCTCTCACGATCGGTTCGAGAGTCAGGGACACGCGGACGCGGCGAAGCAGACGCCGGTAAGTGGTTACCGTAAATCAGAACCGGGAAAATTACCGGATACGGAAAATCGCGGGATTCGGCGCGAAGTTGAATATGAATATTTATGCTCCGTGTGTACGCTCGCTCGCGCGGACCGCTGTGTCTTTATTATTACGATTACCGCACTACAAATATTTTCCGTCCCAATTTCACAGTTCAAAAGGTTCCAACAACATCGCTAATTATTGCACTCGCGAATAAAGTCGTGCCGGCTTAAGTAATAGGATTAATGTTACCGACTGAAAATTCCGCCATATGTGCGGGTCCGTGTAATTTTAATGCGATGATAAATGGCAATTGGCCGAGTTGCGGAACGCGCGATAATTATACGCCGCTGTGCGTTTCACATTGCACGTTGTTTATTCGTAAGAGGAGGAGCAGAAACAGTACAGGAGCCCATACTTTTTTATAATCCTGTTAGAAACCATGCAATGCGCTTCTCTTTTATTTCTCGTCGATGAGAGTTCGCGTAACAAGCAAACGGCGAAATCCGAGCTTTTTGCTTTTTCCCTTCCGTGCTCGCGCAGATACGTTCGCAGGAGATCTAGTGATTTCTTTTGTCTCTTTCTTCTTTCTTTTTCGAGATGCTCGAAAATTGATAATGCATAATGTTGCTTAACGCAGCTAGAATAACGATGATTAATCGCACGCGCGTCAGATATTGTTTTGATCGATTAATTGATGCGGTTGTCGTCTCACCTCTGTATAAGCGATCAGCTATTTCTCTATTCTCTGAGCGTTCGGGCGAAACGCATCGGTACTCTATAATACTAGTAATTTATCACTCAACACGATGTCGACACGGCGAATGTCCTTTTTGCCGGGTGCAGGCCGAACTCATTCGCTCTGTAGTATGCAGAGTTCAATAATCAATCTGTTGCAGCCCGTACGCGCGCGGCAACTTTGTGCGGCGAAATTGTTCGAATTAGAAATAACAACTTGCCGAACTAATTACGTTCCGTTTCTCATTTTCATGCACACCGATACTCGCTCTCTAAGCGTGCAAAAGGCCGCATTTCAAGGATTTGATTCAATTTCCGGCTAAAACACAACTGCCTAGCTATTATGGGTTTTAATTCAATTAAAAAATCGAAATAAATAAACATACGTATCTTGTGTCTGAATACGTACACCGAAAGAAAAATATTGAAAAAAATATAAAATATTTATTCGATGGTTGTTACATGTTTGCTTGTACCAGTATGCATATTTCTACATTAGAGGAAAGCATTTCTTTCAAATGGAAAAATATGTTAACCTAAAGTCGTTGCTTTCCATAAAAGCAATAATTTATTCTACACGAAGAGAATTTCGTAGTAAAAGTTACTATAGAACTTTGTGAAATTGAATCAACATTCTGCTGTAATTCTATATACTTTCATCTCATATGTGCTATATTATATTTTAGGAAATGTGAAATGTGCTTAAAAAGTTTATTCTATTTCCAGTGAGATTTACTATGTTGCTCGATGGACTTTACTGACAGTCTATTTTTGCACTACTGAAAACATAGTAAAATTGAAAAGAATTTCTATGAAAATGAATTATAATATTCTCTCCGTGTAATTAAACCAAAGAATTTAGATTTAAGTAAATATGTCGTTAGTATCGAATAAAAAAAATATCTTTTTATTCTTCACGTATTTTTCTTCAGTGTATAAACGACGAAAATTTCTTTTCCTTACTGCATTTTATTTAGTGAGACGCGGTCTCGTGATATTTACGCGTTTTGTGTCATAAAATGTACATTGCGAGAAAAATATTTAAAAAGTAAGAAATATTTATTCGATGGGTACTGCACTTATATCAGTATATACATATTCTTACATTGAGAACAAGTCTATTTTAAGCAGAAAAATATATATTTTCCTAAAACCGTCGCTTTTCATGAAAGCAACGGTTTATTCTATTTAAAAATTTAAATTTAAGTGAATGTGTTGTTAGTAACCGCCGTATAAATATCTCTTATTTTTCATATATTTTTTCTCTGAGTGTATTAGTGACAATAATTGTGCATAGTTTCCTTTTTTCCTGCGTTTTATTTAATAACGCGGTTTTGTGATATTTACGCGAAGAAAACACTGTCTAACGCTATTCCCCCGATTTCTTTCCGCCTCCGGTGCGTTTGAATAACGTGCCACTGTGGAACTTGAGGCGAAACAATCTGATTCGAAGATTCTATTTCGTCTGACACTTCCGTCATCACGGCGAGTATCGATTCCACGTCCGATTCGTCGCGGCTGTCTCTCGTTTTCCTTTAATTTCATATCGCGCTTAATAATCGGACGAACGTTTGATGGAAAAATAATTAATATATCGGGCGGCACGTCCCCCTCTCGTCGAGGCGAAGATTGGGTCGGGTTAAATCTACACACTGCGGATATATTAAGACAGATCGTAAACATAACGTTAATTCGACGGCGCGGAAAATCGATTTAACGCCGGTCAGTTGTGACCGCGGGCTTTGTGAATTACTATCGTCGTCGTAATACGCTACGTCGTCGTCGTCGTCGTCGCGCAGCCGGAAGTTTAATTACGGCCCCGAAAATTTAATGTAATTTGACACCGCATGAAATGCTATTTTCCGCCGTGCGGCGCTCCCTTTCGTTTAATGAGCATCGCGCCGTCAAGAGTCTTTCCAGCGTAATTTAACGGATTAAATGCGATGTTAAGCGCAATAAATTAATTGTCACATTGGCTTCAAATTGAATAGCACATTCGCGGCCGGCTCGATTAACTGTTAATACTCGGACCGATGTTATGTATTGTTGCTTTAGCGAGGACTAATTATAAGTACAGGACGTGTATGCGTACACATCGCGGGGTGTGTAACATCGATACAACCACGCTCGTGAGAGATCTCATTGGAAAACCGAGCGCTCTAGAATATGCCATTTTATATTTTTAACGGAGAAAAATAAACGAGGAATGAGGTAATTGGCAGAGTGAAATGTTATATTTTCTTTTTGCACCTTAAAATATCGGACGCGCGTCGGCGCAATTTCGACGATGCCGGGTATACAATTTTAAATAGGAAGAACTTAAAGAGTGGGAATTTCGCGCTTAAAAGTACCGCTTTCCTTTTTTTGTCGGTTTCCAACGGAAGTTTTCCACGGAATGCCGCAACGTTGTCCGCTCTTTTTGCAAAAAGAGTCAATGTAAAAAGAGCGAGCCGACAATGGGGTACTTAAAAGCGCGAGGCCGTCAGCGACGCGTCGTTAAATTATGGGAAGCCGGGTCAACGTCGGGTGATTAATTAAACGAAAGGTTAGATTAAGCGAGATAGCAATAATTCTCGCTTGCTCGCCGCTACGAGCTCAGCTCAGCTCAGCTACGCTATGCTGCGAAAAATAGCGAGCGCTGCAGCGGCTTCATGCGATACGTTTACGGTCTGCGGTCCGCGCAGGGCCATACGTCCCACGTGGGCGAACTGGAGAAAGGGAGAGACAGAATAATATCCGCGCGCGACTGTGTGTAAAAGTGCAGCCGGGATAAACTTTCACGGGTTAAACACCGAATGGCGCGCGGAAAAAAGAAATTTTCGCGGCGGAGAGATTAAAGTACGATGAGAGCACGATAAGGAGCAAATCCAGAGATAGTGTATCCGTTTATTTTATATTTTAAAGAACGGAGACTCGAATCTGCGAAAACAAATTTCCACCGATTCGTCTCTTCCTTTTTATTTCTCTCTCCTCTCTTTCTCTCTCTCCTCCCTTTCTCTCTTCCTCGTGGATTTATTTGACTATTTTTTTTCTTTAACTGAGTTAAAAGAGTGTTGGATGTCTCTATCCCTTTATCTCTTTCTCTTTCTCTTGGATTTATTGGACAATTCTTTCGCTTTAACAAAGTTAAAAAGGGCGTTAGATAATATTGCATTGCTGTCTCGGGCGGCGAATATTTAGTTCTGCGCGCTCGCCGGGTGGATCGCAGAGGGACGTTATTCTGTTCTCGCAACGAGATCCCCACGACCTTGTGTGTATGTACGGCCGTCCGTATGTACAGAAGCGCGTAACGCAAACTAATTCCATTTACCGTTCCGCCGTGTCTCACCGGCGCCTAACTTTACTATCAGAGCGGGCCCACAGAAGCGACGGTCCCGACCGAAAACCGGCCTCCCCCGTACACGGCACAGCCTTTCTCTCGTCGACATGCCGCCCTCCTAACTCTCGCGACTGTTGTCAACAACCACCACCACCGTATGTACTCCGTATGGGCACTCCACCGTCACGTATTTTCGACCCCATCGGGGATTCTTGCGTTATCCGAGAACGAGAAGGCACATCGGAAGCGATGACATTCCCCGTTCTAAATCAGCGTTGCGAGACATTTCAGCAACGCTATAAATTTGTCGTGTACCGTGAATATTTTCCCAAAAGCGTGCCGGTATAATATTTATCGCTTCCCCTTATATCTCGCGTGCATATTTTTAACAGGTGTATAAGGTATAAAATGCAAAAGAGAGATGACTCCCACCGTGAAATACGATTCGCCCCTCTCGCTCTCTCGCGCGTTGCGCCGTTCTATAAATTCTGTTCTGTCCAAGCGGATAATTCTGTTCTATAAATTCTGAAATTTGACGGTTTTTAATAGCGGTAATATAAACAGGATACCGAAGACACAGGAGGGATACGTTACTATTTACCCGAACGCGGATGTCAAACTTTTGTTCCGTTTCGTTCTTTTGAAATCGTAGCTGTGCGAGCGTTATTCAAAATGACAGATCATATCATTTGTCATACTTAACAAAGCGATGTCAAGGAAAGGGAGAGGGAGCGACGAGAGGAAGATAAACGCGGATACGCGCGACAACGTGCAAATGAAACGAAATTTCGTAGGATTGTGGCTTTTTTCTTGCGGACTTTGACGAAATTTTCCGACTCGAACGAGGCGCGCATGCGACCGGAATAGGTTGCATAATGGAATGTTTTATATCCGTATCTCATTGACCTGCGCGATGTGGAACGAGCTATATATTAACGAGGCTTAATATGAACGACGGCGAGTCGTTTCCGTCTCTCTTTTTCTTATTTCCGTCTGAGTTTTATTCAGCGCGACAGCTGAACGAGCCGGCGAATCTCTCCGCTATTATACGGATCGCGGATAATGAATTCTTACGCTTCAGAATCGACCCCTTGAAATTCTACTGTTCCGACGAAGTTGCAGGAATCTATAATAATATATAATCCGCGACCAGAGAGAGAGAGAGAGAGAGAGAGAGAGAGAGAGAGAGAGAGAGAGAGAGAGAAAAGGCAGTGAGTCGTATTTTTTAACATTTCGTGAAACGTCCCGGTGAAACGTACGGTGGAAGCGAGAATTATGTGCGCGTGATCTACATTTGACTTTCTGCCAGGCCATTTCTGTCAGTTGACACAGTCTTTCAACTGTACGTAAATGCTTGTCAAACAAGGAAAAGTTTCCTGAATTAATTACACCTTGCTCGCGTATAACCGCGCGCCAAGTTTGTCTGCCGTTTAGATTATGCGTTTCTCATATTTGCCGAAAAGCATTTCGAGTTAGAACGACTTCGCAGCGGCCGGATTTCGAATAATACAGTCATTAAGTTTCAAGACAATTTTTGCGTGCGAACGACTTTCGGACAGCGTATCGTTGCGAGGAATATCATCAGAATACTGATCCGCAATTGTACTTTCATGATCTCGTGCCGCGTGCGCGGCATTGCGAGGACATGTTAACCCGGTTCGACACATCGAGCCGAACTTTTCGCGAAATTTTCACGTGAAAATTGTGCGTAAATTCATCATCTGCCCGCATATACGTAATTACTTTAATATCAGCAAACGAGGTCAAGTCGAGGATAACGCGATATAAATTGACTGAGAGACGTTCAGATTCTCATCTCGGCCGGAAAAAGTATGCAATGTTTGAAGGCTCGTGTCACCTGATACCGCCTCTCGTCGTGTCGTAGTTCAAAACTCTGTTGCCGTGCAGCCATTGGACGACGCTGTATTGCACCTGCATCGCTATGTGCCGTACGACGCACAGCAGCTCGATGGTGCTATCGGCCTCGTAGTACTTGTCCCGCAGTGGCTCGCCCAGAGCGTCCACTATCTGGACGGACGGTGCTGAAATTCAGTTAAACGTGTCAGAAGAAAAATAGACGATTTATCAGCGGGCAAGATGGAATCGCCGTGCCGAAAGCGCCGGGAGGGAAATCAAGTCGGGCGAACACTAATTGGTGGTCACAATTGTGCAAAAATGTTCCAACCCACAAAATTATAATTTTTGAGTTTTTGTTATCAGTGGTAAGCTCACACATCTTTCTACATAAAGCAATAAAATTCCAAACATAAAATTAATTAGAAAACGGATTTTATTTTCTACTAATTACTCTATTTTTTATTAATTTTATTTTTTCACCCATTTTTAGAGGTTTTAAATTTGTCAATAAATATCTTTAAGTAGAAGAAAATTGCTTGATTATGCTTGATTTGTTGAACGATTGCGAAGAACCTCAATGCTACTTGTATTTTTTAAGTTATGTACCAAATTTTTATCTTCATTTTTCTCGAAACGTACTTTATGTGGGTTGAGTTATTTTTGCCTCCATGGCCAATTCTTGATAGTTCGGATGGAAAAATGTGTGTCTAATAAAAAAACTACATTTTTCATCTGTTCACGACACGTCAAGGCTAGTCTGCGTTTCCTTTTTCACTCGCGTAGTAAGCAGTCCGCGGTGCTGAATTTATTTCGGGCGAAAATTTGCTCCGGACATTATCCTCTTTCCAGAATTTTTCGACGTTCTGTCTCTTGTTCATGCTTCTCTAAATATTCGTTGACGCGAAATTTCACTAATGCCAGGTAATATCAGAATTGTATGACCGTCGGGATGATATTAGGGTGAGTTTTGCGATAACAACATAAAGTTTCGCGGCGTATTTCCCGAACATGCTATCTCTAATGTGCGTAATAAGCATTCGCTGCCGCGAAGCCGTAATTTGAATCGACGAGGAAAAGATTGGACGTGTCGTAGCTGGCTTGGCGCTTTTCCAGGCGTGTCTTCGACTTAAAGTTCCTATCCTCTTAGAAGAAGTTACAGAGTCACCATATTGGGGTGAAAGTACTTGCTACTTTTCGTTTAAACATCGCAGTATTGCTGTTCGCGCGCGGCAAGTGTATGCGCGTGATGCATTACGTGCGGAGTATATTGCTCATCTCCCTGAAAACTTTGGTTGCGCCGAAAATTGCATGTACTTTAAATGGAACAATGCTACTATTGGAGTCAAAGGTTCAAAATCGACGAGCGCAACTGTCTAAAAGTATGCTGCAATTAATTGGCTTTTACGCGATATCACAGTAATGCCCCGCTCTGAAGTATCTCCTGCTTAATTCTCTCAACTATTTTCCGCGCTTTACTTTCATTAGCGTCTCCATAAAGGAAATATAATATAAAATGGCTCCTAACTTTCCACCGCTTGGCGTTTACGCCCTTGCGGAAGGATCGGTCTATTATTACTGCGACATCACCGCAGCGCAGCATGCAGTAACTGTCTATTCTAATTCACTAACAACGAATCTCCATCGATGAAAATTGCCTTTTTGTGTTATCGCGAGACTCGCCTATCGCGCTCTTTGCAACGTCCTCGCGTGTTCACGTCACAGTAAATTAGGTCGCATTATAGTAGGGATTAATTTGCATCTCAACGAGGACGGGGGAGGTTTTCTGCTATCACGTGACGTTAATTAATCGACTAGGACAATTGGCCGAGTATTTGGAAAGCGGAGTAGTTGTCGAGTTCCTCTTACATATGAAGACATTAAATTATATAACGCCTACACAGAGAAAATGACTATGGTTGCTGTATCCATATATTTTATAGTTAGAAGGTTAATGTATTACTTTCAGAGTATTACTACAACCATCTTGTATGGACGAGAAGTAACATTAATATTTGGTTATGACAATCACATTTAGGCAAATGATATCCTTAGTGTTTTCTCCGTATAATAGTCACGGCGCGCATTCATCGTTATTGTTACCGTTGTAGTTTGTACAACGTAATCCGGTCTTACGGTAATTACTCGGAAGATCCTTATTTTAATAGAATCGCTGTTATTTGTCCAATTCGCTTAGAAAGAGACAGATAGACAGACAGATAGATAAACAGAGAGAGAGAGAGAGAGAGAGAGAGAGAGAGAGAGAGAGAGAGAGAGAGGGAGAGAGAGGAGGAGAGAGAGAGGGAGAGAGGGAGAGAGGGGGAGAGAGAGAGAGGGGAGAGAGAGAGAGAG